ATATATGCAAAACTCCTACTCTCTAAGTATCTTGCCTTAGAAAAGAACAGAAGAACCACTGAAGTGTGATACATATAAGTCACATCACCTAACAGAATCTCAAGTGGCACATGGTGGTTATAAGAAGCTGCAGCAAATGAAAGTGTCTAGAGCAGAATGAGAATATGTGCTATGGCTAGTAATACATGCAGCATAAATGTTTTTAGAAAGAACCATCTGCGTGGTGTGTGTTACCACATTGGCACTACCACCACCCTTCCTTTTGAAAATCTGGAGATGGGGTCTTGATAACTCGGGGGATAGGGGGGGAACCAAACCAGGAGATTTTCTGTTTTTTTCAGCACCTACCTATTGTACAGGTCAGATCAACAGACTTTTCAGAAAACTAAATTGTAATAGAAACAGTTTGCATGCAATGTGTCTCAGTAAGTTCAGTAACTCTCACTATCACTGCTTTCAGTACAAAAAAGACAAACCAAATCAAAACAAAACCAGCTTGCTTCTCCCTACCTTTAGCCATTTACAGCCAAATTTTCACAAGCATGGAAACCTCTGACCCCATGCTTACACCTTTTAAGACATTGCATTTTTCTGGTGTCTTCATCAAATTCCTTTATTATTTTCTTCTATTTTTCCCCTTCTCTATATGTATTGATTAGATAATGTTTAATTTAAAAAGCAATTTTTTTCTCTTTCAAATTTCCTGAAAAGAAGAAAAATTAGTTTTAACATTTCACAAGGAAGATTTTCAAAAAAGTTTTTTTTTTAGAGGGAACTTCTTAATTTATGACATCACCTGGACTACTCCACTTTCAGCTTTCCCATCCTATGCCACATGAACAGGGTGCATTTTTCCAGAGTTCATGGTCCTTACTTATTGATTTTTCAGATTTCTGAGAATATATCAAGCAAATTTGCAGTTAATGGGGTCATGTTAACAATTGTATCTTAAAACAAACAGCATGGTTGGTTGATGTTTGAACAGCAGTCAAGTTTACTGAAGCAAAAATATTTCTTTACTTACAGTTTCCAACACTTGTTGCAACCTCTCAGGGTGAAATGCAAGAGGCATTGAGGAGTACAATAATCTATGGTGCAGAGGGGATGAAAAATTCTAGCCAATATATGAAGCAGGACTGAGCAGACAAGAATCTAGATAAAGTTAAGATAATACCTCTGGGGGAAAAAAAAGAGGAAAATACCCACAGCATTTAAATCCAATTAATGTGAAGAGAAATCAATAATCCTACATTTTAAATAAACTTCACAAAAACAAAAAAAAAGGTGGGCAGCAGGAGAGGTTTTAATTAGACACATATCTTTTGTCTACTTAGACACAGAGTTTTGTTTGGAGAGCTCTTCATCAAGTGCCAGGGCTCACAGAAAGAAGCAGTGCCAAGGCTGCTGCTTTTTGAGTCGTAGGTCAAAGAGCTAAAGGGAATGAATGGTAGGACAATTTTTCAAAAAGAAGGAAATATTGGCCCAAAATTAAGTCACAACGAGTTACAGCTGGTGGGAGGAATTTGGAGACATGCCAAAGGGATTTTTCTCACTCTTGGTTAACTTACTGGTAGCTTTAGTGCTTGGGAAACAGGAAGAATAGTGACAGAAACAAACAATGTGCAGTAGGGGCACCCACACTGCCCCTGTCGTACTCACCCACCTGGGAGCCAGCACAGGCGCTCACAGTGTAAATTAGAGCAAATTTTATTGCTTAATACAGTTTGATCTTACAGTGCAAACTTCAATTTCACCTCTGTTTACTTGGAACCTGCTAGAGAATTATCCCTCTCTATATCTGTCAGGCAAAGAGCACATCCCACCCCTGTGCTGAGAGCATGAAACCCCCCTTTGATTGCAACATCATACATAATGCAGGTTTAGTTTCTTGTCTTGACAATAGCAGTACTGTACTCTGGTGGCAACCAAATATTTCCCCTCCCTTCCCTTTTATTTTCAAGCCTCTAAGCTTTGGTGACATCACACAATTAATTTACACTAGTCACTCCTTCTGCCTCAGAGAAATACAGTTTGAGGCTTTTTATTTTGACATTAGTAAACCACATCCCTGATTTTTGATAACTTGCTTTGCAGCAGGATAATCTGTATTCACTGATCCCAGGGCAGCAGAATTTCCTGCTCTGTTTTAATCACCTGGATTCAGCCAGCATATCAGAAGCTGAGTTTGTACATATTTTAGAGACGTTGGGAGTAGCTAAATTCCTATCACAGGTGGAGGCTTGCTGGCACAACCAAGAGGAGAAAGCTGTGACTGCCATCACAGCAGGCAAACACAGGTTATTTCTATGTACCAGCAAACTCAGGCCTTGCTTAACTGGTTCAGCTACAGCAATTCTGTAAGTTGTAATTTAGGAGATTGAAACCAGATATTAGCTGCCAATTTTTATCTCTCTTCAGGAGCTCTGAATTGCCTCTTTTTCCAGTTGATGTCACATAACTATTTACAAACACTCAGTATTTTCAGAAGTTGACTTGCAGCTTAGCTTGGAATATCAGCTCTGAGGCCACACAGCCATACCAATGTCCACACTTACTGGTATTTATTTGACTCAGTTCACTGTCAACAGCTCTGATTCCTCCTGGCTGGTAAATACAGCATATGTGATATGAACCTGGGTGTGCTTCAGTGTGCTGATTAGTGCTTGGACTCGCTTTAGGCTCATCCACACTCAGCTTGCCCTGCTTACAGCAACTAGCACTGAGATTACTCAGTAATTGCACTTGTGGGAACGGGAGCAGCTGTGTTAGAGCTCAGTGTGTTGTCTGCATCACCACTGGCCACATTCAAAGTTAACTCAAGCAATCTCCAAGGAAATCTCCTCGTCAGCTATCTGTGGTCAGAAAAGCAACTATAAATATGTCTTGAAAAAAATGCACAGCTCCTTCTATGTACATACACAACTCAGAAATGAATGTGAATCAACACAACCCAAATTTCAACTTTGAGAAAATACAGCTAAATAATGTGCATGCTAAAATGATATGGAAAAAGGGACCTTCACAAAGAAGTTTGGTGCAGCACAAAACCTGAGACACATCAACAGAAGGGCTGAGTGCTCCTACTCTCTAAAAAGGACAAAAACAAACACTAGAAGAACCAGAAAGAGAATAAAATGGCATAAGTATAACATTTCCATGGCACAGTCCAAAGCAATGGATGAAGACAAGAACATCTTACAGCTCATTAAAATAAAAATCAAATTAACTGCTTGTTCTAATGGTTTCTTACTTGAAAGGCACAATAAAATAAGGTGGAGCCAGGCAAAGAATACTTTTTAATGGGAGGGTGGGGAGGGTAGGAGAAAGAGGGAACAAATTAAGACCATGGCTGTCTCCCTGGACTGCATAGCATGTAACACCACCTGATAAACCAAGCTGGAATTCAAAATGTATCAATATGGCATCAACAAGGATCTGTGAGGATATTTTCAGAGGACACTGGCCCACAAAATGAGTGTCTAGGAATTCCAGAATAGCAGACTCCACCAGCCTTCATGCTGGCACTTGCTGGACTTTACAAGTTATCTCATAATGACCTACAGATCATCCTTTCCAAATGATTTATATATGCTGAGCACATCTGCCCAGGACTCCAGCTCTATGGGGATAGTCTTCGCAGCAACTTGACTACCATGTGTCTTTGCTGGAAGAAACAGGACTGAAACCATTATGATGAATTTGTCAATATGTTCCCATTCATATCATACACACAACTAATCTGTGTTTAATGTCTTTTTGGTAAATCACCCGACCAAAGAAAGAATCACTGACCCCCAGATCAGCTAATTTAGAAGATGTAGGAACAATATTTAAAACTGGACTAATAAAATTCAATTAGCTAAACAGAAGCCTGCTTGCAGCCTGCTTTTTATTTCCTGGGATATGTACTGTTTAATAGACAGTAAGGTTGAACACAGACAGAAGTGCATGTTCCTTACCCAGGAGAAGACCAGCAGCCTGCTAACAGGGGAGCAGCAGAGTTCCCCTGCCACAGACAGGGTTTTCAACACACCACCACCAGACCAAACAAACATCTATCTGGATTGCCATGACCACCAGTTTATCACCATAGGAAAACCTGGAACATGCCTCAGGGCAGATCTTCTACTGATATCAGGAAAGCTGCTGTAGGCTTTTTGGATTGGCTTATCCTCCTATTATAGACTCCCTGCAGCTTTTCTAAAGCTAAACACCATAAGTGAAAGGCCCTTGGCAAGATCAGAGTAATTTAGCTATCAATTTTTTGCTTCTATGCTTGTCTTGCTTATTTTTATGGGTGATATTAATCATCATCTTTCCTACACTGTCTTACCAAGGTTTGCAAATTTTTCCCATTCTCTTAATTTTTCCAGGTGAAAGAAGATGCCCGTTGCTTCCCTCTTCCCTGCCATTATTTCCTGTTTCTGCATGATCTGCAGATACTTATAGTGAGTCTGGAGCAGATCCATAAGGAGGTAATTTTGTGGAGCAGATGTCCTATAGTTAGCAAAAGCTGGTAGACAAAGCTACTTTCAAGAAATAGAAAAACTATAGTTTAGTTTTGATTGCTTTTTCTTATCTTCCATCAAACACTGTTATCTGATATAAAAATAACCTCTCCTCCCTCTGACCAGCTTGATTTATATTGATGGAAGATGGGGAAGGATTCAATCATTCCCTCAGAGTAATTGTCAATAAGTCCTGGCTGGCCCTGCTCCAGCTAATTCAAGGAGTCTTAGGAAAAGCATTGCCTAGGCAATGGTGACAGAAGCAGGATATTTCACATCAGTGTTTTTAAAAATCTGCAGCAGTAACCTAACACTCCTTCAAGGGAAAAGCAGCAGCAGGAGCAGGCTGGAGCCTGGGGAAGAGGGAGGCCTCTGAAAGCCCAGGGAGCTGAGATAAACACACCCAACCACAAGCCTCTGCTTTCTATCAAAGTGCTGATTTCTTGTCTACATCTGCCCCCATCTTCCTCTCAATCATTTTCAGAGATGTACCTGAAAAAGGAGGCAAGTGGTACAAGATGAAGTGGGATACATGCCTGGCTTCCAAAGATTTGCTTATCCATGTTGCAATCTCTCCATTGCAGGACTTCTGGCAGAAGCGGATTTCTGCAGAAGGATTTCTGCAGCAGGATTTCCACGCTTAGAGCCATTTGCATATGTTAATTGTGAAGACTGAAGAAGGCAGGCAGTATGAGTTGTCATCCTTATCTGCCTGACATCACTTTTTTGGTTTGGTTATTGTTCTCTTTTTGTTTTTAACTGTGATGTAGGATGACTTCAGGAAGAAACTTTTATTTGGAAGTGCAAATAAAATTAGCTTATCCAAACTGAGTTTTCTTGTCTTACTCTTCTTATTCATTCTTCATTTGCATTTATTTTTTTCTTCATTTGATCTGTGTTCTCCATGTCTACTCTACTCTTTCCTGTACTCATAGCTTTACTCAGGGTTATTTATCAACTCTTTCCTGTTTTTAAAAGGCAGTGTCTCTTTTTTCTCATTCTAGCATTCACACCCACCCTTTCACTTTCACCCCCTGTCACCTGTGTCTCTTCATCATTTCCTTTGCTCTCTTCCTTTTCTTACTTTCATTGATTTCTACAAACTCTACTGAAAAAAATAAGAAAAGAAGGAAAACTGCTGCCCAGCCCAGCAGGGGAGGCAGAAGTGAGTGGGTAGGGAGGTCTAGTGGCAGGCTGACAACTCAGGATGGGAGGATGGGCAGAAGTTATTTTTTTGCTGTGAGCAACAATACTTTCCTTTTTAATTTGTGATCACCGTTGTTTTCTGCCTTTCAGTTTCTCCTAAAGGATGTGCTAAGGTATTAGTGACATAACAGAAATCTTTCATTCCTTAGAGAGGAAATGCTGTAACCAAAGAGAGAATGGTAATCAAGTCTAAACACACCCAATGCAATCTTTAAGTACCTAAACTAGGGTTGCAACTCTCATAGGCTCACAACTGAGACAGTGGAGATAAAAACAATTTCAGAAGGAATCAAGTCTTTTCTTTTTCCACTGAGTATGTGGGAAGATTAGGAAATTTACTTCTTATTAGACATCACCTATGGATAGGCAGAAAAATATCCAAACTCAAAGATACAGAAATCAGAGAAGACCCAGTAGCAGCCAAAGATCAAATGTCTCTTAAACTCACCTTTTTGCATTAGACTACACTGCCTCGAATGTTCAGAGGTCACAGAGGGCTGATTCTAAACACATGTGGAGATCTCTGGTGTCCCTGTTGGGGCTGGGCATGATGTTTGATCCTTACACTACAACCCAGCTGAATGCAGACAAAGCCATTGAGATGGAGCTTGTGCACACAATGACCAAAGAAATCCCACCATACAGCCTTTCCCTACCAAAAATCAGTAATTACCTGATGTATGCTGCAAAAAAAAAAAAACCCTTCTGTGATGCACTTGAAATCCTCTTCATCAATATGCTAAATCTGCACAACAGATTCATCAGTGGATTATTTCATTTACATTTTTAAGATATTACAATGCATCTGCAGCTATAGCAGAGAAGGTGATTAGATACATGGTGATAAGGGGTATTATTACACATACTAATTGCACATACTTTGATACTGTGTTTTCCACAACTTAGGAGTGCTCCTTTTCCCAATAAAGTGTTTCTTAAAAGAGCAGTAAAGAGTTCCTATTACAGACCTGGAGTACTTGAAAATCAGAAGGTCAGATGCAGAGTGGATTTTTTTGCCAAAAAACCTGGGTGGAGATCTTACATGGTTTTAACAGGCATAAAGATATATTGAACCTGATCATTTTTAATGTCATCAAACACTCTCCCTGGCTGAAGATCTGCTTGCATCATGTTTCTGTGAGTTTAAGGAATTAAAGCCAACCCATTGGCCCCATCAGAGGCAGCTCTGAAGCTCCCTCCCCAGTGCAGCCTTTTCCCAGGCATTCAGTGGGTGCATGCTTCTTGCCCAAAGCACACATGCAGCTCTGAAACAGCCAAGGTATGTCCTGCCTCCATCCCCACCAGAGCCCAGGTGGGGTCTGCCTCCTGCCTGGGACTTGGGCTGAGGAAGGGGGAAAATGTCACTGTAGAGAGAAATTGGTGTTTCTATTGCAATAGTAGGATGGACAGTGAGGATTTAGGAAGGGGAGGGAACATCCTGGAAAAGGATAGACACATAGGCTTCAAATCTGTATGGATCTGAGCTTCATTAACTGCACAGTTCACAGAAGGACACATTTGTCCTTATTCTGGCAGCTCATGGGCCAGTGATGGTCTCCCATGAAGAGAATATTACAGAGTGAGGTCTTTAATATCTTTGAGAACTTGAAGGCATTATTACAACACAAACAACATTTGGGCTGTACAGTCAGAAACTGTTCAGAGCAGCAGTGATAATCACCTTTCAACCTAAGCAAACCTGCTCAGGCAGCTCTGCTGTACTCACACAGCCCACTCCACCGGGCCAGCACCGATACCAGGGCTGCAGCCAGAGACTGTCCTGGCCAATTTGTCTCATGGGGAAAGCCTTGCTGAGAAAAATTATCCTGATGGTTATGGTTGGGATCTTCCCATGTACCAGAGAGCATGAGCTAATGCTGTGTTCCCATCACCTGAATCCCAGGTGCCTTTAGGGAACCTGGATGAGGTCATCTGTGGGTCCAAGAAAAACTCCATTATAATGAGCAGAGCTGCTTTGGCTGATGGCAGATGATCACCTGATTCAAAAGTACTTTGTTCATCCACTGCTGAAAATCAGCCAACTCAGGCAAGAGCTGCCAGGAGGAAAAAGACTGTGTGGCAAACATTGAGATGGGATGTATGAAAGCACAAAGGCAATTCTTTGGTTGTAATTTGACCAAGAAACCAGAAAGGATATAAACCTATTCATGAGGGAAGTGTCTGCTAAGGAATGAGCAAAGGTAGCAGCCAGATTTACAGCAGTGTAAGGACAGTAACTCCAGTAGGGTGGAGTGCCTGGGGGACAAGCTGAGCAGGGACATGCAGAGCCCTCTAGCCTGCTGCTTTGGCTGCTTGTGTGCACACCACAGATCCCCACCCAGGCAGCAGCTGAAAGCCCCACCAGGTCTCCTGTTCAAACCTTCATCTGCCAGGTGTTAGGTGAGCTGAGATCCCACACTTAGAAATGTGCACATGTAATCTGAGGAAATATCCCATTAAACAGGTGACTAACATGGCATATTTACAGCTAACTGATCTGTTTTCCAGCTGTTACAGACCATTCAAGTTATATTCATGGAAAAGTACTGGGAGACAAACCTTCCATGAAAATTTTGGTTCAGCCCTCAGACTGTCTGTTTTGCATATACCTGAGCAGAAGGAGATGGGCTGTCCTTGTTGTCCAAGATGTTAATGGGGATCCTTCCTCCATGGCTGTGGGACAGATCAGGAAGCCATGGATCTTGTTCTAGAACAGAAGGATGGTGATAAGCAGGATCAAAATCCCTAAAACAAATAGGTGCCTTGAATCACAGAGAGTGTCCACAAAACCCTCTGGCACTTCTTTCAGCCCACCACCCCCAAATCGCATCAATAGTCTTAATTTTTATTCTAGTGACTAAGTTAACTGCACAAATTTCATTCACACCACTCCATCCATCTCTGAATTATGCTACCATGACTGGGGCAGCCTAAGTCTGCTCTGTGGGCTGCTTCCCCTCCCACCCTGCCAGGAAACAGGAGAGTTATGATCCATGCCCAGGCTCCATATGCACCAATGAAAACTCCAGTAAAGTGAGGAGACACAAGACAAAATGATAATCTTTTTTAAATTAATCAGGAAAAAAGAGATAGTTTTGAACTGATATATGTGTCACTAACTCAGTATCCATTTCAGTATTTCTCAGCTACAAAATCCCACATGACATTTCAAAAAAAAATCTCCTCCAGATCTGTTTTCACCAACTTTCAATGCTAGTATCTCTATGTAGGAAAAAATAGTCTACCACTCATGTGAAAAAAAAAAAAGAGAGTGGGGGAAGGACATTATTTAATTTATATGATAGGTATGGTAAAAAACAGTTATAGGAAAAGCTTCCCCCTTTCCTGAATGAAACCTTCCAAATTTTCTTAGGGTTATTTAGTCATTATTTTCCCAAAAACCCAAGATCTTCAGGAGTCTGTCATCTGGATATGACCAAATGTGGATCTCTATGTCCCAGCTGTCTCTGGGGAGACTACAATCAGCAATAGAAAACACACATTTTGTACAATTTGTGTTAGAGGATTATACCTTTAAAATAATTATTTGTAGTTATATAGAAGGCATTCAGAAGCAAGGCACGTGGTCACCATTTATAATACAGATTCCAAATGTCTGGTTTGGCACTTTTGGGGATTTGGGTGAGATTGTTTTGGTCTGATTTGGTTTGATTTGGATGTGAGGGAAGGATCTTCAGCATCAAGCTGATCTAGTGACATAGGTAAGAACAAATGGAGAATTCTCCCTGGTGCTACCCCAGTGAATTCAGACATCAGTTCACTTCAGTGCTTTCCTCTATTTAATTTTATTCTTCCCAGACAAAGCACAATCAACACCATCAACTGGTGATGAGACTTCCAGTAAGGCAAATAATCCCATGGAAAATCTCTTAATATCAGTGGGTTGGGGATTCATTTCTTGAGAGGAGACACTGCCTTCTCTGATGTCTGGAATAATGATTTAAAGGTAGATTCTGGGGAGATCACATGGCCCAATCTTTTGGATCACTGATGCTAGGGAAGATGCCATCTCACCATCAAGATGAAGCTATTGGGAGTATATCCATTTCCTCCATCAAGTCTAGAACTTGCCCTAGAGTTTTTCCAGTACTTTTTACTGCCATTCTTCCATAAAAATGGGGGAACACAAATCTTGTCAATACAGTCTCATTGATCAATAATGGTAGCATTTTTTCTTTGCTTTGAACATTCAATTCATACATGGTAATATTCATATGACTTACAAACCTTCAAAACTCAGAACTAGCACTTTCCTCTGTCCCACAAGGTTGACTTCGGGACACCTAACCTGAATGCCATTAATAACAAATGGTCTTGCAAGATAATGCTCTAAGAAATTCTATGGAGCTGACCTGATGCTACTGCTTATTATTCAAGCAATCTTCTTCATTGTGTTTGATCATAGAAAGTCTCCATTGCAGTGCCAGGCATGGGATAAGGCCAAGTTACATTCAGGGATCCACAAAACCAGGGTTTGCCATTAACCCAGCAACACACATAAATGCATTTGAATGTCTCATAGAACTAAGAAAATATCTGCACTGCTCACTGCTTTTTGGGAAAAAATAGAGGTAAATGGATTACTCCATTCTCTCTGAATTATTTCTATCTCAATAGATATCTCAATGGACTTTTTTT